AAATCAACATGTCAGAAAATCAATATAAGCACTCCTATGAACTGGGTGCCAAACTTTGATCAAGATCTGAAGCTAATAGAAAATCTGTTTAGTTATCAAATCAAAAACAATACATAAAAAATACATAAAAAGCAAAACATTTCATCCACATTTTAAAAAGAAAATTGTTCTAAAATATATGTATTCCGTATTTGACAAACAGTTCATTCGACAAATGAAAACTCACAGGAATATGTTTCAGCTATTAGAACAGAATGATAGAGTTTTTATAATACTAGTTTAAAAACTCACTTCAAACAAAGATTGCAGTGTTTGAAGATGTAGTTTCTCAGGAGGCAACAGTACTGTTGACTTCTCCCTCCACTGGACACCAACTAACTATTTAAAGCAGAGCTTGCAACATGATAGCTATTCATAAAGGGTGTTTTTTTTTTTTTTTACTTTTCATATAATACAGTAGTCACACAATGAGGCAATTCATATTTGTCTCAGTGAATCATTAATTTTTGACAGACACTTGTACAAAATACTTGGACAAAAGCCAGCTAAGATTTTCTGTTATCTTGCATGTTTTATGAATCTATTCACGTCTAAATGCAGCACTTTTTTTTTGCAATGAGGCATTTGTTTTTATACTAAAATATCTGAATTACTTTGAATAAAGCTGGAAATTATGTCCCTTAAAATAATTAAACAAATAAGGCACCAAGATATTTACATCTTTAAAGGACATTCGGTAGACTGATTCCCCACTGTTAGTTCAACCCCAAAACTTTTTTGTATTCAAAATTAATTAGGACAATGTATATTTATATTGAAACAAACTATGTTAAATACAGTCAAACCTTTGTTAACGACCACCTGTGCAGAGCGGCCACCTGCTCATAGCGACCACCTTAGTACAGTCCCTTCGCAATTTACACATTAAAGACACTGGATATAGCGACCACCTGTCCAACGCGACCAGCGACCACCCTATTGTAGACCTATTCACACTTTAACCTTTGTATAACGACCACCAACATTTCCATCAGACTGTCTCAGCAAAAAGACAATAGCTACTTGCGAATCGCTAACAGGAAAGTGGCCATATGTTACGTTCAGATTACCGAGTACGTAATCTTTAGGGCTAATAGACAGGGGTACCATCGCAACTTGGTTTGTGAAGTTGCGAAAAAGTAAAAAAAAAAAAGTTGAATATCATCTGAATGTAACGTCCAGAGACTGGAAAGATTTTAACAACAAATTAAAACAGTTTCATTCAAAGTTTGAAATGAAAAACTAGCTTGTTTCGGATCGGTACTACCCCCCGGTATACTATCGATGCCCA